TATATTAATTAACATTAATCTAAATGAATAAATACTGTAAAAATATTAATTATTTTTTAATTTTTGTGATATCTAATGCATTACCTAATGTTAAAATTAAACATTATAAAGTGTTCTTGAAAATAAACATAATTCAAGATGAAATTGGGGCAGATGTGGTCTAATGGTGAGAGGCTGCGGGTTCAAGTCTCAGGTCCGGCAGGAATTGTCGGTGGGAGGAGTGAATAACCAGCACTCTCTTCCACCCTCAATTCCACGACTGAGATGAGACCCTTGAGCAAGGCACCGAACCCCCAACTGCTCCCCGGGTGCCGCAGCAATATGGCTGCCCACTGCTGTGTGTGTGTGTGTTTGTGTGTTCACTAATGTGTGTGTGCAATAAATGCAAAGCACAAATTCCGATTATGGGTCACCATACTTGTCCACACTTTACTTCACTTCAAATATTTCTGATAACAAATCTTATCATGTTTTGAGGATGTAAAGAACAAAAATCCTGATTATGAAATGAATTTTGTGCAGTGTCCATATGTGGCTTTTACAATTTGTTGTCAGGACCATTCATGCTTTGACGTCTATCCAGTCGGCCTGTCTCTAGGCAACTCATTCTGTGTGTATGAGTGTTTATTTCTGTGTGTGTGCTATGTAGTGTCCAGTTGTAACGTCCTACTACCTGAATGCAGTGTGTGAGAGTGAGAGAGAGAATGGGCTCTGATTACATTGCGGATAATTGGGCTGAATTATACATGGCCTTCTGCTCATGCTCCTCCACAAGAGTTGTGTAATCTCTCTCTCTCTATGCGTCACAGTACACTGCTCTAGTGTAGGCAGTGTCAGTTTCAAACTTACTTAAACACTTACAGCAGCTTGAAAGTTTCCATTGAATCACCTGTCGTGATACATGTCCACTGCTCCCTGTCTCTCTCTAGCTGCGTTTACGTGTAGGATCAGGAAAGAAGAATTCAGAAAAGATAAACTACCAGTAGTGACTAATTTATCAATTCTCAATTAATATTTCTTTTTTTTTCTTAAACGTCTTGTATTTGAACGTGATGTATTTCCCTAACAGTTACTGTTTCTTCTCATTGGCAACATTTACTTTACTAATAGGATTTCTGGACATTGGATTGTACTTTAATGGGTGTATACAGTGGGTACGGAAAGTATTCAGACCCCCTTAAATTTTTCACTCTTTGTTATATTGCAGCCATTTGCTAAAATCATTTAAGTTAATTTTTTTTCCTCATTAATGTACACACAGCACCCCATATTGACAGAAAAACACAGAATTGTTGACATTTTTGCAAATTTATTAAAAAAGAAAAACTGAAAAATGCTCAGTATTTAGTAGAAGCACCCATTTGATCTAATACAGCCATGAGTCTTTGGGAAAGATGCAACAAGTTTTTCACACATGGATTTGGGGATCCTCTGCCATTCCCTCTTGCAGATCCACTCCAGTTCTGTCAGGTTGGATGGTAAACGTTGGTGGACAGCCATTTTTAGGTCTCTCCAGAGATGCTCAATTGGGTTTAAGTCAGGGCTCTGGCTGTTAGCAAGCAAATGGCAGCAATATAACAAAGAGTGAAAAATTTAAGGGGGTCTGATTTCCTTCCCTACTGTATATGTATGAATGAATGAATATGTATATATAGTAAACATTGTCCCCAAAAAAACACTTTCGGACACTTAAGGCACACTTACAAATATCTGAATGTCATTACAAATGATGATCTAACTGCAATGATTTTTATCTAACTAAAGTGATTTTTAGTGGCTGTGTATGACGTTTCTATTTCTATATATTGTTTTATAATTGTAACAAAATTATTTTTTTGTGAATTGTTTTGCTTAAAATAAAACAAATATATAAAATAATAATAATACAATTAAAATTCACACATTTTTAATGTGGCTTAAATGTCCAAAGTCTTCTTATGCAACTACTACTACTTGGTATAACTAAACTAAACTAAATATAGAAATATAACTAAATACTTCACTCTATGACTACTCTGCTGAGCTAATTCTATCTGCCCTCTCTGTTTGCACAAACCACAGGAAAGGCGGCTTCACATGTATGTGGTATATTGCCAGAACAAACCTAAGTCTGAGCACATCGTGTCAGAATACATCGAGACCTACTTTGAGGTAAGTGCATGTGAAGTGCAACTACACAAACACATGCATACACAGACGCTCAGGTTAAGCGTGAGGGACTGTTGTGTCGCGCAAGCCCATCTGTGTACATATCCCAAGGCAGACTTTCTCGCTCTCTTTCCATTTGCACTGTGTGTGTGTGTAATAATCACACAGGGGGCATGAAGGCCCCGACTGACCCATCAATTCTTGGAACAGACAAAACAGGGAGATGCTTGATCGAAAAGTTTGACACTTAATGGATTCTTCTCAGTGCTGTGCCAAACGAGGTTTGATAGCTGGCATTACTTTAGGTTTTATAGATTGAGATTGCAGGGCATTATGGGATTATAATGGATCATGGAGAGTGTTTGGCTATGTTTGGGGTGGAATACCAGCATGTCAGCACATAAGCTTAATGCATACTTTGCGGTATGTACTGTATACTGCTACTATTTTTTTTTAGTATGTGAAACAGTATATAAAATGCAGTTAAATTCAGTACATATTACCTAGCTACCATTTTTTTCAATAATTTGTTTTAAAACCCAATTTTGGTCTTAATTTTGGCAGTCAGATCATATGATGTGTCAAGAAAAAGATGGTAAAAGTATAAAATATTAATTGCAATAAGCTTTATTTGCATACTGCATTTTTTCGCTAATGAAATAGACCATATGGGTACACCATTTTATACTGCACACAGTATTCGTACAGGAGAAAAATAACAAAATAAACAACATTGACTTTCTCTCTTTCTGCATAAAGGAATCAGTCAAATCAGGTGAATGTTTGTGTGCAGGAACTGAAACAGCAGCTGGGTCACAGGCTGCAGCTGAATGACCTGCTCATCAAACCTGTGCAGAGGATCATGAAGTACCAGCTGCTTCTGAAGGTGAAACAAGAGTGCAACGCACAGACATACACAAACACACATCACACACATTCTTGTGCACTCATGGCTCATTCAGTTAGGAGTTTTGTGGACCATGTCTAAGCAATTCCACATTCATAAATAAAACTACAATATCAACTTATTATCAAAATATTGATGGAGATGTATTTGATTTTAAGAGTGAAAAATAAAGAAAAATGTCCTTAGATGCACTTTGTATGTTGACCACTTAAATTCAAATTTAATTTTAAATTTTGCAAAATATTTTTCTATATTCTAATTATATATAATCAAATTAATGTGTAAACAGTATTTTCAGTGATTTCTGTTTTATATACACTACTATTCAAAAGTTTGGGATCGATAAGACATTTTTGAAAGAACTTTCTTATGCTTACCAAGCCTGCATTTATTTGATAAAAAATAAAGTAAAAACGGTAATACTGTAAACTATTATTACAATTTAAATAACTCTTTTCCTTTTTAATATATATGAGTTTATTCCTGTGATGGCGAAGCTGAATTTTCAGCTGCCATTACTTCAGTCTTCAGTGTCACATGATCCTTCAGAAATAATTCTAATATGCTGATTTGGTGCTTGAGAAATATTTAGTATTATTATTAATGTTGAAAACACTTGTGCAGTTTAATGTTTTTGTAGAAACCATGATGCATTTAGTTATTTTTAGGATTCTTTGATGAACAGAAAGTTCAAAGAACAGCGTTTATTTAAAATATAACTTTTTTAAACATTGTAAAATGTCTTTTCTGTCACTTTTGATCAATTTAATGTGTCCTTGCTGAATAGTATTAATCTCTTTAAAAAAAAATATTTTTGACCCCAAACTATTATTATATTATATATTATACTATTATATATGTATTCTTATATTCTGCTCTGGTTGGGAATCACTGCTTAAGAAGAAATTGCATTCTTTGTATGCCGATGCCGTTTTAAATTTTTTCACAGTAACACCACAGACCTGTTACTATTCACAACATATCTGAAGTTTATGGAAGAATAATAGTAAAATGTTGCCAACTGTCGTACCGTTAAATTTAACTGAAATCTCAATGGTTTTTCTTAGCTGCTTTGTAATTGTAGAGTCACCCACATACATTTCTTCTCATGTTCAAGTATCTGCCAGCGTTCTGCACAAAATACACTTAATTCGTTTCCACACACAAAAAGCCATTAGTACAAATAGACCCTGATACAAAAATGGAACATTCTAGAGCTCACGCTGTGTGTCTCGCGACAGGATTTCCTCAAGTACTATACAAAGGCTGGGATGGACATTGAAGAGCTGGAGGTACGAGTCACTCAGACACCGTAATTATTATGCAAGTTTTATTTCTCAAGACCAGAAACACATAATCCCACCAAGGAACATTGTGTGATTCATTGACCATGCCAACATGTTTTTTTTTCTTTCCTTTGGTGTCAGTTTGAGCCAGAAATCAGTAATACTGTACTTGCTCATAGGCTTTAGTAAGAAATTGAGGTCAGTTTCCACACATAGCTCTTTCTTGTATTCTATCCTTCTACATCGTACTCTCTTGTCTTTCTTTCACTCTGTAACAGAAAGCAGTGGAGGTGATGTGTTTTGTTCCGAAGCGCTGCAATGACATGATGAACGTGGGTCGGCTGCAAGGCTTTGAGGTATGGCACCAGACGCAGGCTGTGGTTTAAAGTTGTCGGTCTGTGGAAATACTGGGAGAGACTCTGATCCCCTAAAGCAGGGGTTTTCAAACATGGGTCTGCAAGGGAGTGCAAGAGGGTCTGAAAAACTTACTAATTTTATTTTAATCATAACATACAGTATATATATATTGTATTCTTTTATATATCTTTTTTCATAAAAAATTCCTGAAGAAATGTATCACAGTTTTCATTTATTCAGAAACATTAATCCATTTTCATTTCAATGTGGCATATTTACATATGTTTTTGCATATATGACCCTGGACCACAAAACCAGTCATAAGGGTCCATTTTTCGAAAATAAATAAATAAGCTTTCCATTGATGTATGGTTTGTTAGGATAGGACAATATTTGGCTGAGATACAACTATTTGAAAATCTGGAATCTGAGGGTGCAAAAAAATCTAAATATTGAGAAAGTCGCCTTTAAAGTTGTCCAAATAAATAACTTAGCAATGCATATTACTAATCAAAAATTAAGTTATGATATATTTACGGTAGGAAATTTACAAAATACCTTCATGGAACATGATTTTTGCTTAATATCCTAATGATTTTTGGCAAAAAAAAATCAATAATTTTTACCCATACTATGTATTTTTGGCTATTGCTACAAATACCCCAGCGACAGCGACTTAAGACTGGTTTTGTGGTCCAGGGTCACATATGTAATTTTTCCTTGCTTTTAGCTTGTGCACTGGTTGGATGATTTTTTGTAAAGCTTCTCTGGAATGATATTTATTCTAAAAAAAAAAGTGTAAAACAAACAATATTGGGTAAAGAAAAAAACATATACTAGATACACAGCTAATGCAGGTTAAATATTTTCCAGATATTTTAATATTTTGTTTAGGCTTTTATGTACAGTGACATCCAAAAGCCAACAAAAAGGTTTTTGAAGTAACATGATGTCTTGCATTGTTTTCATGATATGTGTATGTAATAGTAATAACACACACACACACACACACACTGGTTTCCATGTTTTGTGGGGTCATTCCATAGGTGTAATGGTTTTTATACTGTACAAACTATTTTCTATACCCTTACCCTAAACCTACCCCTCAGACAAAACTTTTTGCTATTTTAGATTTTCAAAAAACTTAATTCTGTTAAAAAAACTTAAAGCTGTTTTCTTCATGGGAACAAAAAAAAAGTCCCCACAAGGTCAAAAATGACTGGTATTACTATCCTTGTAGGGACATTTGGTCCCCATAACATAGGGAATACCAGGTACACACACACACACACACACACACGCACAGTTAGCTGTGTTTATATTTTAAAAAGGGGGTCCCTCAGAAGGGTATCATCATATTTGGGGGTCCAAAAGGGTTTGAAAACCCTTGCCCTAAAACCACATTTTTTCTTTTTATAAGGGGAAGATCACGGCACAAGGAAAACTTCTCCAACAAGACACGTTCTCAGTCACAGAACAGGACAGCAGCATTCTTTCCCGTGCTAAAGAGAGACGGGTCTTCCTATTTGAACAGCTTGTCATCTTCAGTGAGCCAATAGACAGGAAAAAAGGATTCTCTCTACCTGGATATATTTTTAAGAACAGTATTAAGGTGAGTTTCCCCTTTTGTTATTTTCATATACTTTGTTATTATCAGGAAGTTATTATCATGTAAGGTTTCTGTATTATGCAGTATGTTTGCTTCTGCTTTCAGATAAGTTGTCTGGGTGTGGAGGTGTGTGTAGATGGTGACCCGAATCAGTTTGCCCTGATGTCTCGGGGGGCTGATGGCAGCACGGTGCGTTTTGTCTTGCACTCTTCATTGCAGGACATCTGCAAGGCTTGGGTCAGCGACGTGAGCCAAATACTGGAGACCCAACGCAATTTCCTAAATGGTGAGTCCTTCAAAGTTTCCTCAGCCATTATTGAAAGAAATATAAACTTTAGTCAAAGTAGCTGCCCTATTTAAATGACATGAACATAAAGGTATGAAGGATAAAAGGACAGTCTCTTCAATGTCAAACTGGGTTCCTTAGTATCAAGCATTGAATGTCAAAACATTGAAAATTCAACTTCACAAATTTCCAGTGGACAAAACGCTGGTTGTGAACATGAACTAGGAAATAATTTTCAACTGTACAGCTGTCCCTCAAAATGTTTTTGTTTGTGTCAAATTAAACATGACTATCAGTTTTGTTTTGTGTGTGTTCCAGCCCTGCAGTCACCCATAGAGTACCAGAGAAGGGAGAGCAAGAGCAACAGTTTGGGCCGTAGCATGAAGCCTCCTCTGGCAGCAGTTGCTGGTCTGAGGCCCCACTCCTCAGCATCTATCGACCGACACAAACTGCCCTGTCTGCGCTCCTGTAACACATCTTTGCCCTCTCTCTACCTGCCCAACCAGGTCCCCACTGATGACCACTCACAGCCAGAGGTGAGAGAGTTCAATCAAGGTTTGCTTATTTTTGTGCGGTCATCCACGCTTTCAATAGGCTGAATTCCAGTTTGCTTCCAAAGTAAGATCAGGTTTAGTGCATCTCAAATCATATTATGCTTAATGGTGTACTATTTTTGGATGTTTAGTGTGCATGTTTTTGCCACTTTGTCATAATAATAATAATATAATATAAATATAAAGTCAAAATGTAAAATGTAAAAATAAAAGCTAATTCAAAATATTCATATATATATACAGTATATATATATATATATATAAACCTCACAGATATAATATTTAAATGCAAACATACATGAATATGTTTACTCTAGTCAGTCTTGCTGAGCAAGAATGGCATCTTCTGTCTGAGATTTAAAAAAAAATTATTATTATTTTTTTTAACCTCACCTTATTTCTGAACCCTAAGTTTTCTTTAATCATCCCAGTGTCATCATCTGAGAGGTCACAATCTTATGTTGTAAATGGATATAAATAACCTTGTTATTTCTTGTAATTTTGTAACTGCTGTTTCTGTCTGATGTTTACAGTCAACACAGCGCTGTCCAGTGGACTGCAGACTGAATTCCCAGACGGTGTCTCCAACTCATGTGCAGCTGGCCTTCTCTGAAGAACCGTCATTCTCCCAGGCACCTCTAAACTGTCAGGCAGTTTCCAACGGGCTTTATTCCTCTAGCACACAAGCCTCACAGGTACTGTGCACAATATGCTCACTTGAATTTGGTGTGCTCAGAACGAGTTTGGTGATCGTTAATCATGCAATTATAAAAAAAGAAGCCACACTGCTCCCCCTGCTGGTGCATGGTAGACATTCAATAAAAAAATAAAATTAAAAAACGGTCTGATTTGCAGGACAGGTACAATGTCCAGAGCTCTGGATTTATGTGATTTAATACAACTGGTTTCCATACAAATTCTATTTCCAACAAAACGACTGGAGTAAATAATTAACTCATTTCATTAGAAATAGTGCACAATTTTGAATATTTCTTATTCATTTTTTTTTTTTTTACCTCATAACGTCTTTATTCATATGCAAGACTGCTTTATTGAGGTTTTTCCTATTCTGATACAGCAGCCTATTAAAACATCCATCTCCGTCTACAACAGCATCTAGTCCCAAATGAGCTTTGAATACAGCTCAACAATAGTTGTGTGTGAAATAGCTGTTTATCTACTTTACTCAGGCCTGTGAGCAACAGCACTTCACAAACAGGAAGGAGACAGGTTGACAGAAGGAAGTAACAGATCCCTATCAAAAGCCTGATTGTTCTTGCAGGCTATTGGATCAGACTGGTGTTGGATCCAAGTGCTGTTTTGACTTCATTTCCCATGCATTTAAAACCAGATACTTTTCATTGCTAAGTTAATTTTATAACAGTTTATCTCCCATATCTAAATCTGAAATTATCTACCATCTAATTTAAATGACGACAATGATTAAATTTCTTTAGGCTGTATTAATTATATCAAGGAAAAAACAGGGGTTTCTTATATTAGCATTTTGATTGTTATTTCTATTCTGATATTGAAGGTGAGAAATGAGTCAAGGACAGCTGATACCAAGGGACACCGAGCATAACTAAGATCTTTGGGGGTTATAATAAGTGTGAAAAGCTTTCAGAGTTTCTATAAAGAACCAAAACGGAAGGCATGAGACAACAGCACATCTGTCTCTCTTGTATCTAATAAAGATTCTTGAGCTGACAAGAGTGTTAAACAATATGTCGTCATTTCTCAAACTCTGTTGTGACAATTTTCAGTCATGCCTATTTTAGTCATGTCATTAACCGTGTAACAAACATATTACTCTTAATATCCTGGGCTGCTCCCGTTAATTAAGACTCTTCAGCCATTTTTAGACTTGCACTAGGCTTGTGACAGCTCATTGTTCTCTGCTTGGGGAATAGATGAGAATTTCTTTGCTGTCTCGCATCACAAACCTTTATACGTTCATGAATGAAGATTTCACAAGAAGTGTCTGGGGAAAAATTTGAATCCTATTGAAGCCTGTGAGAGTTAAAAAAAATAAAAGGTAACTGAGACTTTATGTATCTCATATGCAACTTTGCAACATACCAGTTTGTGTCTTATAATGTGATTTTATAGCTCACAATTGTGATTTTTCTTTCTCATAATTGTGGCTTTATGTTTCACATTATGATCTTGTATCTTGCAATTGCAACTTTCTCACAATCGTGACTGTTTCTTATAATTGTGACTATATATTGTACACATGCGACTTCATATCTCCCAGCTGTGACCTTTATATTTCGCAATGTGACAATATTTCGCATATTTGTGACCTAAAACCTGTAATTGTGATTTATACCTCACAGTGTGACTTGCAGTTTTATCTTTTATCTTCACAACTTTATTTCTAGTAAATTTTTCTAGTAAGTCTTTATATCTCACAATGTGACTTTATATTTTGCAATTGCAACTTTATATCTCTCAATTTTGACTTTATATTCCACAGGGCGACTTAATATCCCGCAGCGTAACTTTATATCTTACCACTCACATCTGCAACTTTACACCTTTTAATGTGACTATATCTTTCAATTTTACTTTTTATCTTTGCAACTTTATTTCTTGTAATTGCTTGTTTATATCTTGTAATTTGACTTTCTCACTTGTGACTTTATATCTTACAATCTGATTTTATGTCTTATTTTAAACACTTTTTTTTTACAATAGACACAAAAAACAGGCTTCCATAGAATCATGATGTTAATAATATGCTATTTAGAAAAATAGACCATCAGTGACAAAAATGGTGTTTATTTTCTCTATTGTGTCCTAGAGCTCAGGAGAGGGAACCAGACCCAGAGAGGGACGCATGGCTGTTCCTAGTCCCTCCTCCACTCTTCAGCGCTCCAGTAACTTGGCCCAGCTTGATGAGGATGACCTGTGAATGAAAATGACCCTGAATCTGATGTTTGCACCAGAGCATGCCACAGTCTGGACTTTATTCACGTCTGTTGTGGTATTCTTCCTAAACTTATGACGCGAATTACCTAGTGACTTTTTAAATTGTTTTATATAATTTCTCTTTTTTTTGTTGTTGTTGTCTTTTAAAATTATGTTTTGTTCAAAGGAGAATCAACCATTCCTATATTGGGAGGTCACTGGAGCAGGAACCAGAGTAAACCTTTATTTGGGGGTGTGAGGATGAGATTGGGCAAGCGTGTGTGCGTGCATGTATGTATGAATGTGTATTTGTGTGCTAAATTCTGATGGCTTCATCCTTGCAAACATGCCGAACGTTTTACATCAGATGCATTTTGCAGAGAACATACTGTATTATTATAAACATATGAGGGTCCTTAGTGGGCTCGTGCTGGATTTTAAAGTTTTCACACTATTGGTGCCTCTTTACGAAAGCTGTCTTTCTATCTCCCGTCTATATTGAATGCTCTTGTGGGCTGCGTAAACTCTTATGATGGAGCTACGGGGAAACAGACTCTAAATGCAGCTAATTTATATGTACCGTAGTTAGAAGAATGATCTGTGCATGAAGACACGGACGCTTGACTTTCTCTTCACTAACTGGGTGTTTGAATTCTCGAAGATCAATCAACTCCGTTGTCGTGGACAATGAGCGATGCTGCTTGCGGAGCTTCGTGTTCAGACTTTACAACTACAGGTGGACATAAGAGATCACACACAATGAGCATCTGCCTTGTTGAGCAGGAGGACTTGCTCAAGGGAAGGACTGAAAGATAGACCACAGTTGTTACGGCAGAAGAACATGCAGTATAAAAGTAGTTATCTGTGGTTAAATGACTCCTTTTTTTAGCTTCTGCCACCCCTCCTCGTGTAATGCACACTGCCTGGATTACTCTGCAGGTCTCGTCATACAAATTAAGGTTTCTGGATTATTAGATGATGATGATAATACTAATACTAATAATAATAATTATTATTATTAGTATTATTTAAAGTTAATGAAGGCCAAAGGTAAAATGTTATATCATTATGTGCCAAAAGCAGGTGCCAGTACCCTTTACACAAATGAATAAAATATTAAGCCTAAAATGTAATTCAGTTCATTTATAGACCACTTGAAAACAAGCTAAAACACTTGTTTAAGTGTGGGGAAATTGTTCTCATGAAAATGAGGGAAAAGGCTAAAGATGTCAGATTTTATTTTCCTAAATGTTCAAGACATTTTTGGTTATTGTGTTTTGTTTAGTTGTTTTATTGTTCTTTTTAAAGCAAAGTATTTATTAATGACAAACCAAATCATTAGTTATAAAGAGGACTGACATTGTAAATCGAGTCTGAAACATACGGTTTGTCATAAAATGTTAGATGTCTCACCAAAGAAGGGATGGTATGTGTTTGGTATTTGATGTTAAAGCATGATCAAAAAGCACTTTCACTCCGTTTAGCTCATTGCACATTCTTTCCAACAGAGGGTGCCAGAGTACTTCAGCGCTGTATACACAACCACTCGGTCTTTTCCACAGATCAGTTTAAAACTTCAAATGCAAAACTCTGTACCAAAGCTCATGTGCTTTACTGTCAGCATGTTTCCGATGCATTTGCATAAATATCCTTAAAATGATTGTAACAATCTTCTCTTGCCTTGATGTAATATTCAAATCAGCAGAAATCGAATAATTTGACATAGCCCTGTATAAACTGAAAGCTTTCCTGTACTGCCTTTCCACAAACGTGGATTTGAATCTTACATTGTTGCATGCTATTTTGAAGAACACCTCTAAATGACGAAGGAAATGATGTAGAGAAAGAATTGGACATGATTTATGTCTATGTGACAAACCCTATAATTGTGTTATATCAAATTAAACTGGTTCCCTTTGGAACACATGAGTGTTTTGGAACACACAATGTTTCCTTTTCTACTGTATTCATGGAAGTTTGCTGTGTGGTGTCATTGAGGATGTGTATTCGTGGTATAGGGGAGACTGGGGCTAGTTGTCACGCTTAAATATTTTTCAGAGTATAGGATTATTTCGGAAAGTCAGTTTCTGTATAGAAACAAACCTACAAAAAGACCCAAGATAGCTGATGAAACCACAACGAAACCTGCCATTAGAAAGCTTTTTATTTGTCCAGTAAAAAAAAAAAAGGAATTGCAGTAAAACAACTATCAATTAAATTGTAATGATAAATTGTATAAAACCATAACATGTAAAACATCTGACAACTTGCCCTGATATTATGAAAACTATTCTTGCCCTGAAAATACAGTTAAACCTTTCAATCAAAATAAATCTAAAATTATAATCTTCATTATATAATTGACCTTTTTTGTATCCCAGTGTGGTTTCATTGTGGTAATTAGTTAATCCAAGAAATATTACAAAAATACAGTTTGAAACTAACATACAAAATCGCTGCTCTAGAAAACAAATATCTGTATATTAGGACTTTTTGACTGAAAACTTTTTAGTTATTGTGACAACTTGCCCCGGTAAGCAGGTTCTGGTGACGTATAATCAGAAGCAATTGGTCAGAACTGGACTTGCTTGTTGAATTGTTTATGATTAAACTCCATCAGACACTTTATGTTGACCTGCATGGATGAAAACCTTTACAGTCATTAATGTTTTGGTGCAGCTCAGCTTTTATGTTAAAAAGATAAAGTATAAAGAAATGTTTAAAAACAAAAGACAACAAAAATATATCCTCCAAATCAGTCAGCTTTCTGTGAGCTGGCTATAGGGAATCTAGTTAACACATGCAGACAATTAATTTGTCTAAGTTACATTCTAGGCATTCTTGAGCAGTAAAGGGTTCATTTACACATGCACACAGATGGGGGAAGAGGGTTTTTGAGCATTCACTATCACAAAGGTGCCAAATCAAAGCGACTTCTGTCACAGCCAGTGGGATATAAACAGCCGGGGGTCCATTCACAGTGAGCTCCAGTAGAGCGCTATCCTCAGTAACTGTTGTCTGTTATTTACACCGGTCATTACGAGACAACATGACTGTGAACTTGATGGGAAGAGGTCAGACCACTGTTCCCATGAATGGCCTGACTGTTTAGTGACAACTGTAAAATGTCTGAAGACTCTCCAGTCATTTGTCTTTGTTTTTAAGTGCTTCCGTGACACCTTGGAAACAATGGCCACCTTAAATTAGCATCCTGAATGCTATTACATTACCATTAGAATAAATGCAAAATGCTGAGGTCCGACACGCCGTGTTAGATTTAACATTAGCCATTTGCTGAACTTCACACATCTGTTAAAATGCACTAAGTGTGCTTGACAAGGTATTAAACGCTGTGAAGGAATGAACAAAACGAAGCACAAGATTTTGATTTGCACAGTTATTCATGTTTATTAGTATTTCACATGCTGGTCTATAGAACTGTGCACTATTTAAACATTATATACATCTGGTTCATGTCTTGAAACTATAGGGATTTAGATTTAGAGTGAAATAGCATTATAGCAGTGCCATTCTCTGCAAGAAAACAAGACCTAAGGTGATCTGTCAGGGAATAATGTTGGCAAACTTTGCAACCCGAACTCATGATTTCAATATAAGGCATCAATTTTCCCTAAAAAAATAGAAAAAAAAGTAAACAAATGACATTTTCACCAAGTAACAAATACTTTTGATTGTGCTGTTCAGAGAATTTTCTTTTGAATTAAATTGAATATTCTTTAAATAAATGTGCAAGGGCAAAGTTTGGTCATAAGAAGTCTTTGCATCCAGAGCCATAAAAAATGTCACTTATATCAGCTCTATCACTTCCGCTGTGACCTAAAGTCTCTTTAAAGTCTCAAAGATAAATTTAGGTGCAGCATGTGCGTTCGCTCCAGTGTTTTCAAAAGAAACAGGCCCATGCTCCCATTGCTTTTTGGAATATCTGTTTAACCATTTCACCTGTTGTATACATTTTTTAGATGACGCAAATGGCCTCACAGGGTCTCTGGTTTAATTCCTGATATGATATTGAGTTCTTTTGCATTCAGCATCCTTTACTCTCTCTTAATGTTGCTTAGCAGTGCATCAGTCCCATTGTGAGAAGGCTGACTGGACCGGCTCTTCCTGCTCTGGTGGGTCTTCACATGCTTGGAGAGGTGATCGCTCCGCATAAACCTTTTCCCACACTGCTGACAGCCGAAACGCTTCTCCCCGGTGTGTGTGCGAAGATGCCTCTGTAGCTCATCTGAACGCGTGAAGCTCTTTCCACAGAAGAGCCAGTTGCAGATGAAGGGCCGCTCGCCGGCATGCCAGCGCAGATGCGCTTTCAGGTGGGAGGTTTTTTTGTAGACCTTGCCGCAATCTGGAATATGACAAATGTGTAGTCTTTTCTTCCCGAACTCCAGAGCAGCACCTCCGTTTCCCGCGGACTGACAGTTGGGGCATTTGCACCTGCGACAGCGACGAGTTGAGCTCAACAGACCTTTTGAGGTTCCTTGCAGAAGAGCAGCAATTTGAGGCTGGTGGCCCAAAACCAGCTGGCGTCCCAGAGAGAATGGATGCCCGGAGGATGCGCTGTTACTCTGAGGTAGACTCCACCACTGCTGGGCATCCTCAACATGACCACCTGGCAGGTGAGGTCTTCCTGAAGAGTTTTGAAGGAAGCTAGGAAAGTTCTGACCCACAGCATTGTGCTGTGTGTAGTATGGTGCGTTCCCCTGCGCCTGAGAGGAGAGCATCTTTACTGGAGACAGATCGAACGAGTAGGCTGACGGAGGCTCGGCTGGAGGGGGGAGGGGGAGCTCGTGGGTGATGATGGTGATGATGGGAGAGCGAGCCCAGGGTGGGCTGCATGTGGCCAGGGAACTGCATTTTGGGTACGGTGAAGGTCATCTGGTGAGCGCTCAAGCTGGAGTTTGGGGCCACGTCGTTGCTCCAGAGCTGAAACATGCTGGAAGCAGAGGCCACCGGCCCCTCGTAAGGGAGCTGAGACCCCTCCTGCCAAGCCTGACTGCATGTGGTGGCCAAAAAGGAAAGGGTGTTAGGACCACTTTCTGGAGAGGAGCTGGGAGTACGATCCTAGAGAGGAAAAAACAAATAATTGTAACTAAATGAAACTTCATACTGTCATATTCATATGTACAAAATTGATTTATAATTAGATAGAATTTTATTCGCTATAAAAAATTAATTTGTAAAATAAGTTTGATTACAACCTTATTTTTTAGCTTTTATTATTATTTTGGAATACATTTTTAAATCGATACATTAATAAATATTTCCAGAATAGTAATTAAAAAAAGAACTAATTTTACAATTTTTTTTACAGTGAATATATTGAATACAATACAAAGTCTTGCCAAAGAGACAACTTGAATTGCACTTTTTAATTTAATAGCTGCTCTGAAACTCAGTATAGTTCTTAAAATTGTGACATTTTAAATGATAGATAGATAGATAGATAGATAGATAGATAGATAGGTTAAAGAAAGAAAGAAAGAAAGAAAGAAAGAAAGAAAGAATTGCACCACAAATGTTATGCTGCGAAAAAAAAAGTTGTTGATTTAATTGAGCCAAAGTATCACTATGAAATTGGAAGATGCATGATTTAAAATATATATTTTAAAAACAAAAGTGCAGTACCTGTAAGAAATTGTGCAGGAAATTGTCCGCTCTGGATAAGGTTAACGCAGCCATGTGTGCACGGGAGCTTCAAGATATCCACACTTGCGTAAAGCGCGGCGCGCAGTGCGTAACCGTGCCAAAGTCAGAGCGTGCGGGCGAGGAGGCGCGCAAAGATCCTGCTCGGATTGACCCCGTTACACAACCAGGTTACCGGTGCATGAGTTTAGTAGTGATCATCAACAATCCTTAGATTCTCTCTTCCTACTCCTGTCCTTTATCGGTTGTACGAGTCTTTGGCCACTTCGCGCTTTTGCTCCTGGTTTTCTGTGTCCCTTTTTCAAAAGAAGCGGCTTTCAAACCAGGACTCTTCCTTTTGAAGTGCGACTGAAGGGCCTGTCGCAATAAATCCTGAGGATCATTTCAAAGGCGGTCGGATCGCATCTTCTCTTTATAGGGAAAAGATCCTCTCGACGGGGTCTCTTAAGTATGTATCAGGAGGGCCAGTGAATGGAGGAGAGATGCGGAGGGGGAATATTGGGGAGGGCAATCTTTGGGAGATTAGCAAGAGGGGTGTGTATTATAACCTTCATTTCATTCTAATTTAATTTTGCCAAATGTTAACCTGTGAGAACCCCTTTACTTTACAGGTTGTTTGTGAGAAGAGTCCAATATGAGAAAGTTTGTTTACATGTATCTGATATTTAAAAGTTTAACGACTGGTTCTTTTGTCACAAATTAGAAGCGAAATAAGCACACTTGCTTTTAACAATCAAGACTTTATAATAACTTTAATAATACCAACAAAAAATGTCCACTCGATTTTAAGTTTCAACTTGTTTTTTTTCCACCAGTAATTAAATTAAAAGTGGTTAAAAGTGCAACGAACCACTGCAAATTATAACATTTTCCCTTAAAAAAACAACAACATATTTTGGCGTGCCGTTGATGTGCATTTAAAAATTAACATGAAAATATATATATTATGAAAATGTGACATTTCTGTTTAATTGCCATTAATATAGGCTAATGAAATATGTTTTCCTATTGTTAAAGTTTTAGGGGGTTAAAGTATTTTATGTATATCAGTTCCACTGTAGGCTGTTTGAGTTTTCTGTTAATCTGTTTTTTAATCTCTTCAGCTGTTATTAGCTGTCTACTGATCATTCTGGAAAGACGACGTAGCCTATTAATTATGACGCTAAATGATGTTTGAAGACGATCGAGTTAGGTATTATTTTTGTCCCGTTGATAAAAGCGAATGAAGATGCTATACCAGGTAATCAGGAACTTGTAAAAGTTTCAAACAAAAGAAATGAAATAAATCTCTTTGCACACTCAGTAGTTCGCACACTGAAGTGATATTATAAATAAAGAGCCCCGCGTGACATTTTCACACTCCGGGTTCAAGTTAAGGGCGTCATCACATTTAAAGAGATTAAATACAGAGCATCCAAAGTTCTTCTAACAC